AATATAGNCCAGACATCTCATGGAATATAGCTACGCACGAACTCTCTTTACCTAGTGCGTACGTAGCTCCCCACACAAATAATTCACAACAAAATACACCTAAGGGGATGAGTTCCCTTTTACAAGGTTAGGCAAGAGACTTACCTCGTCTCAAAGCTCACTTTTCGGACCACAATTCGTTCTGAAGCCTCAACTCGGCGCCGAACAATACGAAATTAGTCAAATGTTATATAAATTAATCAATACATGTTCAAAAGTTCATAATTTAACTATTAGAGTAATTACCCAACCCAAATTGAAAGATTCCTAAAATTCACCCTCGGGTCCACGTACCCAGATTTCAGAAATATTTGAAGATAATTGTTACTCATAACCTCACAAACTCAAATATATCATTTTCACCCAATTTCATAATCATTTTCGTGGTTAAATCCCATTTTTATCAAAACCTAAGTTTTTCAACTAAACCCATAATTTTACATGTTAAAATCTACCCATAATCTATGTATTAAACTTATATTGGGTAGGAATTACTTACCTTCAATAGTTAGGTGAAAACCACTCTCTATGAAGCTCCAAAATCACCCAAGAAATGAAATAAATGAACCAAAATGGCCTAAGTCCCGTCTTAAATGAACCTCACTGCCTAGCGATTTCCGCTTCTGCGGAGAATTGGCCGCTTCTGCGGCTCCGCATCTGCAGAAAATNTTACGGCTCCGCATCTACAGAAAATGCATAGCAGATATGGCTCTCCTTTAGCTGGCCTACTTCTGCATCTCTGAAAAGTGGCTCCCTTCTGCGAGCCCGCGCCTGCGGCGTACGCGCCGCACCTGCGACTTTGCACGCTTCTGCGGACCACTGACTGCTTCTGCGGTCACGCATCTGCGCCCCCATGTCCACACCTGCGGACTCAACCCACGCAGTCCAAAGGCCCACCTATAGCCAACGAGCCACTTCTACGGTGCCGCACCTGCGGCAAATCCTTCGCAGGTGCAAACGCACCAGAAGCCCTGCTGCTTCAGCAACTTCTTCCAAGTCCAAATGAGTTCTGCGCATCGTTCGAAAGGCATCCGAGGCCCCCGAGGCCTCGTCCAAACATACCAACAAGCTTTAAATTATAAAACGGACCTGCTCGAACTATCGAAACACGGAATACAACACCAAAACAAAGAATCACACTCCAAACAAAATCGAATTAACTTATGAACTTCAAGTTCTTCCAACTTGCTCCGAATGCGCCGAATTATACTTAGACTACTCGGAATAACACCAAATTTTGCGTGCAAGTCATAAATTACCATACGGAACTATTTCCAGGCTCAGAATCCCAAACTGACCTCGAAAACACCAAAACCTACTTCAAACCAAATTTAAAGAACTCAAAAAATCTTCAATGTGCCAACTTTCAATATTAAGCGTCGAAACGCTCCCGGTTCATCCAAAATCTGATCCGAACGTACGCCCAAGTCCAAAATTATCATACGAACCTATTGGGATCGTCAAATTCTAATTCTGAGATCGTTTACTAAAAATGTTGACCCAAGCCAAACTTAACCCTTTAAGGCCAATATTAAGGAACTAAGTGTTCCGATTTCAACCCGAACCCTTCCAAACCCGAACTAACCATCCCCGCAAGTCATAAAATAGTTAAATTATATATGGGGAGTCTTATTTAGGAGTACAAGGATCTAGAAAGTAAAAACGACCGGTCGGGTCGTACATGAATCTTGTCTATTTCAATCCTCCAAGATTCGAATTCGACTTTTGAGCCATTCAACAATTCACATATTTAACCTTTCGAATATGTATTACGTATTCAAATTTGTTTGAAAGAGTGGGAGAAAAAAAGAGTGGGGATAGAATATAGATGGGGTATATCTCGCCAAACTAAATAAAGCTATTATTCTAATTTAGACTCTAAAAGGATATGAATGTTGATTCATACCAATTAATTAGAAATTAATTCGAGGGAAGAGAGACCCATACAAATTAATCATGTGCCAGGAACAAGAATAGAACTGGTCACACGAGGATTTTCAGTCCTCCGCTCTATCAACTGAGCTATCCCGGCTATTCATAATGTATTATCCTCATTTTATTAGAGAACTGGGGTCTATGTCAAATAAAAGGCCAAAAGTAGATTTTTTTTATCAAAGCCGGGGAATTTCTTCGATCTTCAAAAAGATGACTTTGTAAGTTTCAGTATGAGTAATGATATTGATAGCGAAACATTCAACCAGGGATTCCTTGCTCAAAGATGTTAATTTTTATGTGTATCATATATATCCCAAGACTTATGATAAGAGAAAGTCATTTACGCTCAAATCCATTTTTAAGAGAATATAGTCAATGAGAAAGATAAGGAATTTTGCCGCTAAGGAATGGGGGTTAGATTAATAGTTGGGGAGTGAAATAGTCTTTTTGGTGATAGAGGGAATTGAACCCTCACGATTTTTAAAGTCGGCAGATTTTTCTCTTACTATATAATTTCAGTGTTGCCGGTATTGATATGTAGAACATGACTCTATATTTATTCTGCTCCGATTAATCAGCTCTTCAAAAGATTTATATAATGTTTGGTTTCCTATAACTGCTCGATGTCAAACGTCATTGTTCCACAGAGTTGGGATTCTGTTGTCTAGACAAATATCATGTATCAAACCTTAACAAACAACTAAATTGCAACCAGTGATGGCAATGATAAAGGTGAAAGCTGAGGCAACTAAAAAGTGCACTCCTTACCTAATGACGAGGCGTACGATTTTAATTAGACAAAGATAGCATAAACATAGTGGAGTATGTAAAATAGAAAAAAATATAATGAATTGAGCAAAAAACTGAAGAGCGAGAGCATTATCAAGAATTGTAAAATATAACAAGAACTTGAATATGAAGCTCCTACACAGTTTTATGAACAAAATACTAACACAACTCTATTTACAGTTTTATTTTGTGAACTCGCGAACTTTAAACTTTTACATTCACTATTATACAAAGAGTTTTGAGATATATATTAATAATATTCACTAATTACTTTCATATTATTTTTTAGGTTAGTGACTAAGATTCATTGGCTTGTTTACGTCCCCTTTAGCTTTTGCTTATTGACTAAGATCAAGTGTATTTGGTACATTCAAGTTTCATTAAAGAATAGGTTGCCTTTTTCACTCAGGGGAGTACTTATGCATTTCTCCTATAATTAATTGAGAGTCGGCCAATTTTTATCTATCTTTTAGATAACTCTGAAATTAAAAGGTAGGCTCAGGTAGGGCCATGGATAGCCTATTTGGGTTAAAAAGTCACAAACACCAAATACATAAAATTAACTTATAGTATAAAGAAATATAGAGTTGAAATTAAGTGGAGTGATGAGTTTTAAATGGTTGTTTGGTGCCTTATAAAAAAATAAAAAAAGTAAGAAGTATTAATTAGTATTATTTTTAATAAGACTATTATTAATATTTAAAAATAAATAAAAACTCGTCCAGTAGAGTACTTATAATAACTTGAATTTTATTTTATATGTTAATATGAGTTGCATTATATATCTTTAAGTTTTTTTATTCGTTCACTTCTTCAAATATTGACACCGCTCTTCTTCAAATATCGACACCGCTTGCAAGAAATTCAACGTATGCCCCTGGAGCCATGAATAACTTATTTCGATGGGAAAAAAATCACAAACACCAAATACTTAAAATTAGCTTATAATATAAGGAAAGATAGAGTTGGAATTAAGTGGAGTTTTCTTTACTACTATTTCCTTATTAAAGTTTTCCATATATGATTGGGAAAAGAAAAGTTTCCATAAGTTGTTACTTTAGGCGGAAGATATAATGAACTAATGTAAGCCCTACTTGTTGCCTAAGTAATAATTTCCTAAAGGGAGTTACCTCAGACAAGATATCTATAAATTCAGTGTAATAATACTCTCAAACCTAATTCGTTCTCTTCAAGTTATTAGAGTACGCTCTTTCAGAAAGACGGACATTGGCTCATGAAGGAGTACGAGGTTTCTAAGGTTATTCTTCACAAGTTCGACGAAGAATGTAGAGATTATGTTCTCTGCGCCATCAAGAAGCTGAAGCACGTTAACAATTCATCCGAAACTTCCACAATCACGACATTGAATAACGATTCCGATGGAACTGATGAGGTAACGAGTTCTGTTGATGACTTGTTGGCTACTAATACTTGCAAGGGTTATTATAATATGTGCAAGAATTTGGAACACTCCGGAACGATAGCTTTTCATCAAGAATCAATGCTGAAGGGACTACTTTTGAGATGCGAGAACTACCAGTGCCAGATGACTTGTATCAATGGGATGGAAAGGAATTGGATGGTGTATCCGAGGTTGATGTAGCAGTAGAACCAGAGGCGACTTATACTACTTGTGGGCAATATTCTGTTGAAGCCACAGCTATGCTCAATAATTTTGATCGGTCGCAGCCTGATATGTGGAATATTCTGAAGTGGCTAATCATATGACTGATATGTCTCAAATGAATTTGATTAGCTTTGATCGGTCAGTGCCGGAAGATCTGCTTGGCTTGGACCCATGGGATATAATGGACTCGAATGAGTTAAATCGGATATTAGAAGATGTATCTGAGTTTTGTCCAAATTGATGCTAACGAGGACCAACAACAACATATGATTGAGCAGACGAAACAAAACGAAGCATTTCAGCTTTATTAATGAACCTTTATATATAGACATTCTTCAACAAGCTGTATAATCCTTTTCTAGTAAATGATAGAGCATGTATATTAAGTTCTAATCAAATTTCTGTATTTTGTTTATGTAGTAAGCAATATTAGTTTAACTGAGCGTGCCTTTGAAGAATCTTTTCATTATTCTGTAATTTATTTTTTCTGATTACAATCCTTATTCTTTTATGTATATCTTTGATTGCGATCCTTTAGGATCCTTCTTTCCTTTTGTACCTGAGCAACCTTGCTCCTCCATCTTGTATTTAAAGAATCTCAATGTAATAGATGAAGAAGTTCTCTGTAAACTCACTCTTGAATCTCTGTAAACTTCCCTTTGCTACCATGACTGTCAACTCAAGTTCAGTAACCACCCCAATTGTGCCAACTTCATCTACTGATTCCAGTTCATCTATTCTTCCTTCTCATCGTGTTATTAATCCAATCGCTCAGGCTAGCCAGTTTGTCACAATCAACCCAACCTCTCAACTTCCAATCAAGTTGACTGGTAGCAGCAATTTCCTAACATGGAAAGCACAACATGAGATGCTTTTTCTTGGATATGATCTTGTTTCATACATTGATGGAACACTTTCATGGCCGCCAGCCACAGACCCAAATTACAAAAATTGGCTCCGACAAGATAGCCTTATTCGACATGCCATCATGGCGTCAGTTGATGACACTATTGCGCCCCTTGTTGCCACGGCGCCCAATGCCTATGTTGCTTGGAAAAAACTCACTCAACAGTATGGAAACAAATCGCAAACAAGAGTCTATGGTCTCCAAGACTCTCTCAATCGCCTTGTTAAAGGTACCAAGCCCGTCGCTCAATATCTCAATGAGATACGTGCCCTTGCTGATGAAATTGCCATTGCAGGATCCCCTATTGATAGTGCTGCCCTTGTGATCAAGGTTCTTAGTGGCCTTGGTCCTGAATACAATGAGATGAGTGCTGCTATTCGCGCCAGAGACACACCCATCACTCTCGAAGAGCTTTTCGACAAGCTAAGCAGTCATGAAGTTTTCCTTCATCATCGACAAGAATCTGCTACCATCACAGCCCAATATACCCAAAGATCCAACCAGCAAAATCGCCATCCACAACGACAGAACAACTATAATAGCAGTAACAACTACAATGGCAATAACAACCAAAGGAACTACCAATAGTCTCCCAATGAAAACAACAATTAGCGTCCGAATCAATCTACTGGCAACTCCAATCGCCAGTAGAATTGGCACTCATCCACTTCCAACAGCAACAAACCTCGAGTTCAATGCCAGTTATGTGAGAAATTTGGACATATTGCCAAGGTTTGCCGGTCACACTCTCATAATGCAAATGATCCCCAAGCCAATTTTTCAGTTAAGTGATCATCAGGAAATTCTAATTGGGTCATGGATACTGGGGCTTCACACCACATTACTTCTGACACACAAAACCCGCAGGCTTACTCAGACTACACTGGTACCGATGATGTAAATGTTGGTGATGGTAATGGTATTAAAATTACCCATACAGGACATACTACTCTTCCCTCTACTTCTCGAAACTTTGTTTTGAAAAATGTTTTATGTGCTACTTCCATTCATCGTAATTTAATATTTGTTCCTCAATTTTGCGAGCAAAATAAAATATCTGTTTAGTTCTTTCCTACTTTCTTTGTTGTGAAGGATTTGACCACGGGAGCACCTGTGGCTCAAGGCCCGAATAGAGCTCAGACTTACGAATGGACTGGATCCTCGCCACCACAAGCAGCCTATCTTGCTTCTTCTGCCAACAATTCTTCGTTCACCCTTTGGCATCATCGTCTTGGTCACCCCCATTTAAAAGTTCTAAAGTCAATTATCTCCCAGTTTAATTTGCCCGTTTTCAATTCTTATCAAGATCATTGTAATTCTTGTTTTTGCAATAAAAGTCATCGTTTACCATTTAAACAATCGACTTTGAAAAGTTCATAACCATTAGAACTTCTATTTACTGATGTATGGGGACCTTCTCCAGTCACATCCTCTCATGGATTTCGCTTCTATGTTATCTTTGTGGATCATTTCACTAAATACATATGGTTTTTCCCTTTAAAAAGGAAATCTGATTTTGTTTTAACTTTTATCAACTCCAGATTGCATGCTGAAAAATATTTTAGTGTTCCAATTCTTACTGTTTATTCTGATGGTGGTGGAGAATATGAGGGTCTCACAAAAACACTTTCAGATATGGGAATTCAACACCTTTTCTCACCCCCTACACTCCTCAAAGAGTTAGTAGTGCTGAATGACACCATCGTCATATTACGGAAACAACTATGACTCTTTTACATCAAGCCTACATACCACTTGCATAATGGCCTTACGCGCGCTCAACAACTGTCTATCTTATAAATAGAATGACCGCGCCGATACTACAAGGCAAATCTCCATATGAATCTCCGTTTCATACCCCTCCAAATTATAAATCACTTCGCACATTTGGTTGCTTGTGCTATCCTTGGCTACATCCCTACACTAACCATAAACTTGATCCAAAATCCAAACCATGTGTCTTTTTTGACTATTCCACCAAATATCATTGCTACCAATGTTTTGATCCTTCTACCTCTAAGCTTTTCCTTTCCCGCCAAGTTGATTTTTTAGAAAATAACTTCCCTTTTGCCACCATGTTCTCCTCTTTATCGAGCCTAACTGAATCTAATCTCCACACCTGGCTTGATGTTGTACCCACTGATCACTCACCCCTACCTCTCATGATCAGAACAATACTACAATCACTTCACATGACTTTTGTCTACCCCCTGTCATGTCAGCTCCTATGCTGCAGCCATCAGACACCATTATTTCACCACCTGCTACTTCTAGTTTATCTTCAACCACCAGTTCTCATGAGTCTCCAGTCCAATCACAGTCCACCTCTACTCCGGCATTGAGTGAAGATGCTTCCAGCTCTCCTTTGCAGCAGGTAAGTAGCCCTGCTCCTGAACCTGCTCGTATAGTTACTCGTTCTCAGCATAACATCTTTAGACCAAAGAAGCCTCTTGATTACTCGACTTTAGTAGTATCCACAGGTTCCATGATCACTCCTCACACATATAAGCAGGCAGCCAAATCTAAAGAATGGCGAGATGCAATGCAGGAAGAGGTTGATGCGCTTGTGAAGAACGAAACTTGGAGTCTAGTACCTCCCTCCTCCACACAAAATGTTATTGGGTGAAAGTGGGTATTTCGGGTCAAACAAAAAACAGATGGAAACATTGATCATTTAAAGGCTCGGTTAGTTGCAAAAGGTTTTCATCAGCGCCCTGGCATTGACTTCAACTCCACATTCAGTCCCGTAGTCAAGCCTACTACCATTCGTCTCATTCTCACTTTTGCCACTTATTTCAAGTGGCCTCTCTATCAGCTTGATGTCAATAATGCCTTCTTGCAAGGCACTTTAGAAGGAAAATTTTACATAGAACAACCCCCTGGTTTCGTGAACCATCAGTACCCCTCTCATGTTTGCAGACTTCGCAAGGCAATCTATGGTCTTCGTCAAGCACCTCGAGCTTGGTATATTGAGTTCAAGAATTTTATATGTTTCATCGGGTTTGTTGGTTCCAAATCAGATACCTCTCTGTTTACAATGCATGGTCCAGGTTTTGTTCTTTTCCTACTTTTATATGTAGATGATATTTTTTTAACGGGTTCATCCAGCACCAAGATACTTCAAGTCATCAAAGCGCTTGATGCCTGCCTCTCGCTCAAAGACTTGACTGCACTCACTTATTTTCTTGGTGTTGAAGTTTGTCGAACTACCACAAGTCTTTATCTCTCCCAGAAGAAGTATATTACTGATCTTCTTCAGCGGTTCAATATGCTTGATGCCAAAGGTGTTACTACACCTCTTGCAGCCTCTGTTGTATTTAAGCTTGCAGATGGATCTGCCCCTATGGATCAAAAGCAATATCGTCACCTTGTAGGTGCTCTTCAATACCTCTCTATCACTAGACCTGACATTGCTTTGCTGTCAACCGACTTTCACAGTTCATGCACCAGCCTACTCGCCTCCACTGGCAAGCTGCCAAACGTGTTCTGCGCTATCTCAAGGCTACATCTACCCTTTCTCTTTATCTTGCTCCTCGTGCCCCATTTAATCTCATTACTTACTCGGACTCTAATTGGGGTGGAAATCCAGATGGCAGGTGCTCCACTAGTGCTTACGTTGTGTTCCTTGGAGGCTCACCTATCAGTTGGTCTTCTAAGAAGCAACGAACAGTAGCTCGCTCCTCCACAAAAGCAGAATATAAGGCCATTGCCAATGCAGCCGCAGAAACTAATTGGATTGTCAACCTTTTGAGTGAACTCCATTTCTCTACCTCCAACACTCCAACAATCTGTTGTGATAATCTAGGAGCCACTTTTCTCAGTCAAAACCCAATCTTTCACAGCCGAATGAAGCATTTAGCTCTTGACTATCATTTTGTACGAGAGCAGGTCCGAGACAAAACACTGGTTGTTCATCATGTTCCTTC